GGATAATAAAAAACCCAAGTGGATGGTGATAATAGTTGTGTGATGTCAGTTTGTTTCTCACCTGATGGCAAAACATTAGCTTCTGGAGGTGGAAGTTAATATGGAGATTGTGATTTCTCTATCCGTCTTTGGGATGTAAAAACAGGAAAATAAAAAGCCAAATTGGATGGTCATACTGAAACTATTTACTCAGTTTGTTTCTCTCCTGACGGAAAAACATTAGCTTCTGGAGGTGGTAGGTCATAGGGAATTGGTGATTTCTCTATTTTTCTATGGGATGTCAAAACAGGATAATAAAAAGCCGAATTAGAGGGTCATACTAGTTATGTTGTATCAGTCTGCTTCTCTTCTGATGGAAATATATTAGCTTCAGGCAGTAATGATAAGTTTATCTGTCTCTGGGATGTTGAAACAGGATAATAAAAAGCCAAATTTGATGGTCATACTCATCATGTCTCCTCAGTCTGTTTCTCTCTTGATGGAAATATATTAGCTTCTGGTAGTGCTGACTAGTCTATCCGTCTTTGGGATGTCAAAACAGGATAATAAAAAACCAAATTAAATGGTCATACTAGTTTTGTTATGTCAGTCTATTTCTCTCCTGATGGAAATACATTAGCTTCTGGTAGTGCTGATTATTCTATCCGTCTTTGGGATGTCAAAACAGGATAATAAAAAGTCAAATTAGATGGTCATACCCATCATGTCTACTAAGTCTGTATCTCTCCTGATGGAAATATATTAGCTTCTGGTAGTGCTGACTAGTCTATCCGTCTTTGGGATGTCAAAACAGGATAATAAAAAGTCAAATTAGATGGTCATACTAGTCATGTTGTGTCAGTTTTACAATAAATTTCTAACATTTTTTATTATATCTTTTTAGCTCAATTCTTGATCTTCACTTCTTAAGATAAATCTGTACATATTTTTCAAATTTATTATTCTATTTTTATTAAATCTATATTGAGATGTGATATACATTATTATCAATTAGTATTATATTTAAAATTTACATTAAGCTATATTAAAAAATATTCTACAGGTATTTTTAGAGGTAATATTGAACTCATCAAAGATGCTCTATTGAGAAAATTACAATTAATTTAAAAAAAAGTAATTTTTATTAAATCATCAAGGTAATTATAATAGATTTGTTTAATTTAATATTAATTGATGAATAGGAAAAGAATAATTAATAACAGAGTTAATAAAAAGATAAAAAAATGAATTTAAAAATAAAGTTGATCCTTGATTATTTAAGTCATGAATTTAAACAATTAGATTTACTAATACTTTTTATTATATATATAAAAGGTATTTCTGAATATAAAATACCCTTCATTACTCTTCTAAGGTTTTATCAGTCGAATTCTTTCATAACTCATCCACCAGTAAAATTTACAGTTCAAAAAATTCATTAAGAAATTACCAAAAATTTATATTAAATAACTTAAAAATTGAAGAAAAAGAAAAAAGGAATCAAAGATTCAAAATAATTAAATTTTTCATTTCCTAAAATGAGATTAAAAACCCTCATTATTATATTAATTAGATAAGACACCTATCGAGCCAACTAAATAATATAGCAGGAAATCAATGATGTCTATTATTATGTATATGAATGAGTATGTTTGAGATTAAAACATTATAATTCATCAAATATTCAATAATGCTTTTACTTTTTAATGGGATTTAATAATTAAGGGTAATAAATATTTTTCAAGCCTTAATTAAAAAAGTTAGTTTTAAAACATGATTTAGAGTTACAATAGCTTTCAATATATTTGTGTAATTTAGAAATTTAATGTTCTAAT